ACTAAAAAAATAAGTTTTAGTAAATAGTTCTATATCTTTATATGCCAAAATGAAGATAAGTATAGGGAGAAACTCTTGTATATGGGCAACTTTCTTGTCTATAAACAAATATTACTCTTAGATATAGTCTGGGAGGTCATCTAACTACTGCACAGCTATTCTCTGCTCCTGAAGGCCAGAATTCACATCCTTTGTTTGCCAACTGTTAACGACTTTTATATCAAGCAAGCAATCTGAATCCTGACTCTGTTCACAGGCAGGGGTTCATTTTCTTTAATATTAACGTAGCACATTTGCAACCCATGGGAAATAAGGAAATAAAAATGTTTGCTTTTTATTATGGAAATATCCCAAGAACAGTTGGTAGTTGATACCTGGTCCATTCTCAAAAAATATCACTTGGAAACTGGGAAGGGGGTCTGGGGATATATACTCCAGGGATAGCAATAAAGGATTTAACCATTATTCTGAACAAATGCAGTTACAAGAACATTTTTCTGGTTTAAAAAATAACAACCAAAACTTGCCTTTTAAGCAAACCAACTGGGAGATGATCATTTGTACACTTTGGCGCAATCCTATATTACTGCTAGACACATCCTAGACTTGAGAAGCTAGGAACTTTAGTGGTGACTGGTATACAGAAAAGTCTCCAGCACTGACTCTGACCCTGAGAAGTGTTAAGCATTTACAAGCTGATGGGAGCTGATTGTGCTCAGCCCCTGCAGACACCCAGTCTTTTTGGCAGCACAATTATTTGTTGGAAAAAGTTGTTGAAAGCATACATTTTTAATTGGCACTGAAAAGGGGATTCAGCCTAGGGAGAAGGGTGTCTACTCTCCATATTCTTAAAATACTCTTAGTAATGTTAATATTCAACAAATAAGGGCCAGATCCTACAACCCTTAGCTATAGTGATTAGCACTTATTCACATGAGAAGTCCCACTAAGTACTACAGTGAGGTGGTTACACACTTCCCCTAGGGAAGCTCTTCCTGAACTTCAGAGATTCACCACCCAAGCTCAATTCACTATATGGGCCAGGGCCACCATTTGTAACACCATACCCTCCACTGTATTGCTGACAGTGGGGATTGAACCTAGAACCTCTGGATACAAATGCCAAAGACTTTACTACCCGAATTAAAAGGGACTATTCATGAGTAAATGCTGTTCAGTATGGGTAATGGCTGCAGAATCAAACCTTTAATGCACTGTCTATTCTGAGACACAGAAACACCTTCTGGCTGACATTTTTGTTCCCAGGACCTAACTACAGGTAGCAGAATTATTCCCCCTGTTTTAATATTCAGAATGAAATATAAATGTATCTAAAATAATTCAGAATTACAGTATGTAAGACTCTAGCAGATTGCTAAATAGAACTTGTGCAATATATCCCCGTTTTCTTGTGTGTACATCATAATGCCCAGGTAACACTGCCAAGCAACTAGTCTTCCCATAAAAACAGAAACACTGTAGTGCTACAGCAAAGCAAACTTAATGAGCTGCCTCAAACAATAACCTCTTGAGATTTTATTGACTGCAAAACCTTCAGCAATGTGTATTTTAACCCAGTGGTTCTCAACCAGGCATCCAGGGGCCCCCAGGGAGCCCCGAGCAGGTTTCAGGGGGTCCGCCAACGAGGATCAGCATTAGACTCACTAGCGGCTAAGGGCAGAAAGCCGATGCCCCACCACAGGGCTGGGGTGTTCAAATGCCCTGATGATTCTGTGTCCTTGCAAGTGACCACTGTATTATGGTTACTACCACCCCTCCCCTCCCCTCTCCAATTAATCTGGCCTGTCCTATTTGTCCTGGAACTTGCAATGCCCCCTGCATGTGAGAGAGGTGGTAGAGAGTTGGGAAAGCTGGTTCTGTGCCTCCTGTACAAAGTGATGCCAACTCTCATGGTTTTATTTCACAAGTCTCATGATACTTGATGTTTTTCTTAAAGGCACAGATCCAGGATTTATGTGAGAATCACAGCTTGCTTGCTTGCTTTGTAAACGTTTAGCTCTCATGATTGAATGAGGGCTAAAATGTGAACCCCAACAGTTCCAGTACTAAATGCAAATAAAAACACCCCAACTTGTATTATTTTTTTAAATCTCATAAGTTTTAAGCCAATCATATGATTTTTTTCAAGTCTGAGTCATGATTTTGAAATTTTCTGAGGTAGGTAATACTGCATTCCAGTGTACTACCCATAGTGGGAGGAGGTAGTATTCCCTGTAGGACGCCTTCTTCCTGACCTACCCTTTTGCATGAGCCTCACTGGCTTGAACAGGCTGTAGGACAAGACGAATTGGGCCTCTTCCAAAGGACATGGTTGAAAGTAAGACAATGGCCAAGCTCCGCTCCGTAATAGTGAGCAGAGTTGGCTGTGAGCAGGGAAAGGATTAGCATGTTGCACTTATTGAAAAAGGATGAAGAGCTGGTGTGGCAGTGTTTTCTACCCAGGATGAATTCTAGACGAGTTAGCCAGAATTGCTCCCACTGCTGTGCAGCCCGTCTGCAAACACATTAAAGTAGGGCCATGCTTTAAGGCACAATCTAAATTTAAGACCCAGTCTAGACTACATAAAAAGGTGTTTAAAAAATGAATTAACATTTTAAAACCACCTTTTCTTAGTCTAGACAAAGCCTAAGTGTATTTCACTTCTACTAAGAAGAACCCACATTCTTTTCCTTTTTCAGAACAGTACTCCAAAGAGAGTTGAAACCTGTCTCTGAATTCCCTTTTCTAAAGAAACCAGATACTTTCTTAAAAAGCTGTTTTTACTTCTCCAGACTTAATAAGGCCATCGTGGCAGATGTATATTAGGGCTGTAAAATGTGGCTACAGTTCACAGAGCTTAAAACAAAAGTCAAGGGCAGGAATTCACAGTTGTATTGTGTCCCCTTTATGTCAACTCTGCTAGTGTAAGAGACCACGAAACAGCTGTAAAGCCTTCTCCACTGGGTTTCAGAAGTCCTCCTGGGCAGTCAGAACTCGCATAACTGGTTCTGAAACGTCTCCTTTTCCCTGGAGCCCTTGGAACAAGGGTGTGCTAGGCCAGTGGTTTTCAAACTTTTTTTCTGGTGACCCAGTTGAAGAAAATTGTTAATGCCCATGACCCAACGGAGCTAGGGATGACAGGTTTGGGTATGGGAGGGGCTCAGGGCTGGGGTAGAGGGTTGCGGTGCGGGGGTGAGGGCTGCGGGGTGGGGCTGGGAATGAGTGGTTGATGGTGTGGGAGGGGGCTCTTGGCTGGGGTAGTGGGTTGGGGTGCAGGAGGGGTTTAGGGTTCTGGGCTGGGGACGCAGGCTCTGGGCTGGGGCCATGGAAGAGAGGTTTGAGGTGCAGGAAGGGGCTCTTGGTTGTGGGGGGCTCAGGGCTGGGGCAGGGGATTGAGGCACAGGGTTGAGGCGCGGGCTTACCTTGGGTGGCTCCCAGTCAGCGGCGCAGTGGGGGTGCAAAGGCAGGCTTCCTGCCTGTCCTGGCGCTGCGGACCCATGCTGTGCCCCGGAAGTAGCCAGCAGCAGGTCCAACTCCTAGGTGGAGGCGTGCAAGTGCCTCCTTGCGGCTCTCATCTGCAGGCACCGACCCCCTCCCTCAGTTCCCACTGGCTGGTTCCTGGCCAGTGGGAGTGCGGAACCGGTGCTCGGGGCGGTGGCACCATGAGGAGCCCCATGGGCCCCCCCCCAGGAGCCAGACCTGCTGTTGGCTGCTTCCAGGGCACAGCGCAGTGTCAGAATAGGCAGGAACCAGGCTGCCTTAGCTGGGCAGCACCGCTGATGGAACTTTTAATAGTCTGGTCGGCGGTGCTTACCAGAGCCACCGCAACCCAGTGCCTTCTATTCCATGTTCCAGTACTGGGTTGTGACCCGCACTTTGAAAACCACTATGCTAGGCTACGTTGAGATAAAGCATATACGGGTGTGTGAGTAGCAGTATACAAGCTGGCTAATCCACAGTAAAACAATGTTCTGTAGATTTTTTTTTTTTCCTTTTTGGCTGTATCCACATTCAAAAATGTAGGGAAATCTTCCACCTTGGGTCTAGAAGAGATGGTGGTAAAATGCACATGCCCTTAGACAGGGTCGCAATGAAACTGCCCTTGAACAAAAAGAAAAGGAGTACTTGTGGCACCTTAGAGACTAACAAATTTATTTGAGCATAAGCTTTCGTGAGCTACATGCATGCATCCGATGAAGTGAGCTGTAGCTCACAAAGGCTTATGCTCAAATACATTTGTTAGTCTCTAAGGTGTCACAAGTACTCCTTTTCTTTTTGCGGCTACAGACTAACACGGCTGCTACTCTGAAACCTGCTCTTGAACAGTATCAGAGTGTTTGAAGGGAAGGAGGGACAGTTTGGGCTGCTTGGAAAAAGCAGATTTTGGGCCCCAAAGGTTCAGTCTCCAGACGCAGGGGATCTGGTGTGTGGAGGGAAAGTTCATGTTTAGGGTAGGGGAGGTGCATGCTCAGCGAGGTTTGACCCAGGATCCAGGGAGTTTGGGCTTTGGCCCTAGGGCAGTTTGGCCCCAAAAAGTTTGGTTCTCGGGACAGGGGGGTTTTGGATCCAGATGGGATTTGCTGATTCGGGTCCTGGGGCACAATGGTGCCGGAACAATTTGTAAGAGCCATTGACCCAAACTGTAAACCCTGTATATAACGTTAACCACTTCCAGCCAAGGGGCACGGGAGCGCCTGGGCTGGGGCAGGAGGTTTTGGATCCCGGGAAGTTCGTGTCCGGGAGGCTGGGCGCGGTCCCGGGGCAGAGGAAGTTCGGGTCCTGTTACGGGGCTGGCGTTCGGGTTCTGGTCCGGAGGCAAGGGGCGCTGGTCCCCGGGCTGCTCGGGGACGGGGGAGGAGGGCGCGGTTTGAGGCTCCCTGGGAAGGGGGTTCGGCCCTGGGAGGGCGGGTCCCTGTGGGGGGATTTAGGTCTCCCAGTGGATCAGGCTTAGGGGACTCGGGGAAGGGGCCGCTCTTCGGAGGTCCCCTTTGCTTCTTACCCGCAGGTACAAATCTCGCACAGGCACCGCTTCTCCTTCATCCTCCCGCTACCGCTGCCTGCCCGGCTCTCCTGACCCGCCCCCCAGAGCCATGGTAACCAGGCAAGCGCCCCGTCGCCTGGCAACCGCCTCGGCGTGCTTCCGCCAGCCTTCTCCCGGCTTCCGTAAGTCGTCACAAAGGGGGTGGAGACAAAAGGTGCACGCAGTCGCAGCGACTTCCGGTCGTGGGCAGTTGGCTGTGCTGTCACGAGGACAGGGGGGGACTCGCGGGGTGAGTGACCAGCCGGGCCCTGTCCTTCACCCGGGGGCCCGGCCTGCGCCCCCTGCCCCCAGTGGAAGAGAGCTGCGGCGTCTCTCAATTGCCTCACACCAGGCTGAGGTCATCTCCGGATCAGCCAGGGTGGGCGGCAGCCGGTGTGTTTAATCCACTCCACCGGCCCTGCCTTCCGGGGTCCCCCCGGCTCTTCATCCTCCACACCCACGGTACAGCGGGCGGGGCCCACGGTCACTCCTGCGGTGGGTGGGCCCGGCCACTCGTAATAGGAGTTGGGGTGTCCCCACGCACACCCGCGCTCCGCTGTGCAGTGTCTTGTCTACCTGGCGGTTGCGTTGCCCCCCTTGCCAGAGGGGTTTGCACGAAAGGGGCACCATTAGTGTGACCTGCAATCGGTTAAACATAAATAAAGATCAAATACCTGTGGGTACTGCACATGTGCTCCCCAAGCCCCGCGACAGCCATTGTGGTTTTACACTGCGCTTTTCCTTCTTTAAAAATGATTTTCTCTACTTTGTTGCTCTGCAAGACGCACATGATGAAGCTTACAAGCATCTAAGCACGTGTTACTTTACTCATGAGCGTTCCCACTGATGCCAATGGGACTACTCGCGTGAGTAAAGTTGCGCGCTTGTTTAATTGTTTGCAGGATCAGGGCTTGCATAACTGTCTGGGGAAACAGTCAAACGTATTATGTATGCAGAGTGCTGTCAAACACACAAAGTAAGCACATTGGAAAAAGAGAGATCCGTGATTCAATTATAGTCGCCACAGGAATTGTTTTACCTATTTTTTTAAAGAGTGGTGGCTGCCAAATTTACACTGTCCCTTTAAATTCTGTGTGTGGTTCTGCCCAGTTTAAATGGACAGATTTCCACTGTGTATTTGTTGTATTTATAAACAAATACATGAAAAATGTATAGGATTAAAAACTGAAAATTTGTGTTTGTTTGTAAATCTTTTTGGTATCTGATTTGGAGTGATTGGTGTTATAGAAACATAATTTATTAGCTACCTAAGTACTGCCCATGGATGGGTTTAGGTTTAGTTGATATTTATATATAAACTAAACTATAAATACTTGTGCGTGCATTTAAAAAATTCAGATATTTCTTGAGTTATGATGCTAGTATAAAATGCTTTTTCCTTATTCACAGAAATAGGTAATCATGGTTCTCTCTAGTTTGGAGAAGATGATTGGACTCCAGAAAAAGCCTGCCAGTATCAGGAATATCTGTATACTGGCTCATGTGGACCATGGTAAGAGGGACTTTTTGCTATAAACAGTCATTTAGAGATATGTTCTTATGTGTTCGGATTAAATTGTAAAAGAATATTTCTGTCATTTTGCTAAAGATAAGTGTTTCAAACCATTGATTTCTCATGTGTTTAAATTCATGGGTTCAGTTCAGGGCTGATTTGACCCTAGGCACAGGGCCACTGATAGTGAGAAGTCCTCCTAGAAGGCACCCTTGCAATCAATGTTCTGTGGTGTTGGTGGGGGCGGTTGACAACATAGCCCTTAAAGTGGACAGTAATGGCCAATAACGGAGCATCTCAACAACTGCTGGGTGGTATGCTATTCATATTCCCCCTCCCCCTTACCTAGCTGTCTGTGGAACTCTGGCTGTAACTTAAACCTTTAGTGGAGTGTGAATCTGCTGTAGGGTGCAGCACTGATCCCTGGTGAAAGGTGGTATAAATTGCCCCCCAACCTCACACCGCACTAGTGAGCAGTGGCATTACTTGTGAAAACTGCGCTCATCCATACTATTTGGGGGGGAAAAAAATGAAAGGGAAAGTATAATGCAGTCAAGTGATGTCTCTTCACTCGCTGGGTCAGCGTACATTGAAATCTGAAAAGTCCCTTTCTTCCCTTGGTATAGACTAACTGCCTTGCATTTTTGTGGCGAGGCAGGGTGGCATTAATGGGCATGGGAGGGCTGCTACAATATGTGGCTTTTAAATGTGGGGAGTAGGCTATAGGGGAAAAAAAAAAAACCCTCCCAAGCCACATTGTAATAAAAGTAATCAAAACGTGTGTGTACATGGGACTAGGTTGTGTATGTGCATGCACACATTAAATGATATATATGTTCCAGAAAATGAAGAACTTTGTTTAAAATTGGTTAACGTTACTCAAGTGCACATATGACCAACACAACCATATAAAAGCCAGGAAATCCCTAGTTAAGCCGAAAACTGTGAATTTACCTATCTTGCTTTCACTGCCCACCTAAGTTGTCTTTTCCTGTGGCTTCTACGTAAAACATGGAACTTTGATCATGTGGAATGGTTAGAAATTAATATTTTTTTATTGTTTAGAATGTTTAATTGGTAGTGTGTTGTAGTAAATGGTAGGTGTCTATATAGTGTTTTTTTAGTTTGATTTTTTTTTTTAATTGTGTTGTGCTGGATGATTAATGGAAGAAATATTTTGCTGTTTAAGTGGAAATAATTTGAAATAGTGTTTATTGTTTTGGGAGGTTATTGTTTAATAGTAGTGGTTAATCTTTATTTCCATGTTGTAATGAGGAGTTATGGTTGGGTTTTTGTTGTTGTTGTTTCTTCAACATATTCTTTTGGTCACAGTTAAGGTTGCATGTTTTTTGTGGAGATGTAGATGAGAGGCATATCTTGTCAGAGGCAGATGTAGGTGATATTGAGTAACCATAACTGGTTTTTAATAAAGCATTTTTATTAATTTTTTTAAAGAAACCTGTGTGCCTGTTGATAGTTACTAGGTTGTAACAATATCAAGTTTGATAACCCATTGGTGTGTGTGTATTTAAACAAAGTCACTTATTTTTCTTTAAAGGCAAAACCACTCTAGCTGACTGTCTGATATCTAGCAATGGAATAATCTCCAATCGATTGGCAGGAAAGGTACAGTTATAATCTAATATAATTAATTAGTGTCATTTTTGAGAGTTCCTACAAATTTTCTTCCAGACATACCCTTTCACATTTAAAAGAATAGCTTAGGGAAATATCTGTGTACAAATTTATCACCTCTTTTTGTGCTCTTTTATTTTAGCTGAGATATCTAGACAGTAGAGAAGATGAGCAGATCCGAGGAATTACTATGAAATCTAGTGCTATATCACTGCACTTTGCAAAAGGTAAGGTAGAGAGGCTGCACAAAAATGTACAGACTACTGAGATTTTTTTTTTGCTTTGCTTTTCCTTCTATTAATGATCACTTTCAAGTTTTTTCCTGCAGTTAACTCCTGGATCTGTCCCTTAGGCCTTGGTTCTGCAGAGATTTACATTTTGCAACCTTGTGTTTTTAATCATTCTAATTAAAAAACATAACCACAGTTTTACTTCTGTGTGGTGCACATGCATTTATGAATTCAGTGGGACCCACTTGTGCTTAAAGTTCAGGATGTGAGAAAGTCTTTGGAGGATCAAGGCCTAAATGAGCCAGATGTAGACATTTATGAGTGATAACATCGTATGAACATTGTGCAGCATATCTTTCTTCATCTTGGAGTCTGCTTTACAAGTGAATTGTGGAGGAAAGGATCTTTTTTTCTATAGCTCTTCATGCAAAAATGGCCACTGTATGCAAATATGTAACACATAGCATAAATTTGTTGAAAACTGGTTAAGTGTTCATCACTTAAATCCCCTTTAAAGTTGAAATCTTTGCTCTGCTGAAAGAAAAGGAGTACTTGTGGCACCTTAGAGACTAACAAATGTATTTGAGCATAAGCTTTCGTGAGCTACAGCGAAATACAGACTAATACGGCTGCTACTCTGAAACCTTTCTCTGCTGAGTATTCCAAGAAGAATCATGTGGAGATGAAGTGTCCTTTCACTCCTACATGGTGGAAGCATGTTGATTGGAACAGTATTTGGGAAGTTTCTACCTCTAGTGTAAATGTTCTGTGGATGCCTGGAACTTCAGTTTTCATGCTACCTTTTATTTTAGAGGTGGAACTGATGGGGAGGATGGTTCAGTCTCTGCTCCCAAAGTTGTGGAAACTTTCCATCATACGCACAGAAATAGTTTTTAATTAGCATTTTTTATTTATCTAAGATTGCCGAACTCAGAAATAACATCAGTTTTTTAAATAACTTGGCCACAATTTAGAACAATTAACTTCTTGATAGAATGATCGTAGGCAAATGCAACATTAGTACTATTTGATGGATATACAGAATTTTCCCAGATTGGATAATTAGATTTTATTTCACTAAATTTAGTAAATGGTCACCTGTGCTGAGTAAGTGATGCTGATATCTTAGCATCAGAGAGAGAAATGCTTGTTTTTTGTAGTAAAAACATGCCTACGTCTATTGATATAGAAGAAGTTACTCAAAAAAGTTTTGCCCACATTGATAATACATGAAACTAACCACACATTTCTCAACTGCTGACTCTTGAGAGCAATAGAAACGTCATTGGATGAGACCCAAATACCTGCTGTTGCTCTGAGTTTGCTAATATTTGAACTTTCCCTTACCCTCTCCATGCTGTTTTTAGATATTATTCATTACAGTTACATTATTTTCCTTTGTCTCCTGGAATGGAAATGATGATGGGAAAATGTAAGAAGTGGGATTTGTTAAAGTTGGCCTTTGTAAGTGTGTGGGGTGAATTTTTGTACAAACCTGTATTTTGTATTTTCTTTTAAAAAATACTACATTGTAGGATGATCAACTGTTCATTATCTTCCATATTTGTTCCCTGTATATTTTGGTTTTGATGTCTTGTTACTTTAAGTCCAAATGTTCCTATTTTTATTTTTCTAGTCCTCGGCCCTGAAACAATGGCATCAATGAACACCATCTTCTTTTGACCACTTCTCTAAGTACATCTGACTAATTCTGTAATAATTGCACACAGTCCTAATT